CTCTTCCATAATTCTATTTATTTTACTACTATCTGCTTAGTTGTCCAAGATAGAAATTTAAATTCATATTGATGTTTCTCTTTCATTATTCAAAAATAATTAGTTCCAAAGTCCAGTACATCATTTCTCCTGATTCTTGAGTAAATCTTCTTTCTAAATCAATAGCACCTACAAAGAAAGTTTCAAAGTTCTAAAGATGTTATAGAAAGTTCGTGAATACATATTGGGCTTAATTTTTGGAGAGTCCAACTCAGCCATATGCTTCAGCCACACCAAACTCTTCACCATTTCCTAAGAAAGAAACGTTGTTTCCTTTAAAACTTCTACTTACTATACAAAACAGCAAAAATGTCTCCTCTTCTCTGAATTCTCCTCTAAGTATTTCTGGGTTAGTTAACTGAGCCATTCTTATTGCTCCCCAAATACTTTTTACAACCTACTTCTGAAGAATCCAGCACACTGAGTTGTAATTATTTGCTTTCTGTAAATTCTCTTTACTAGATTGTGGTCTGCTCTTTAGAAAGGACTATCTTTTGAATCTTACACTTGACTCTCCTTCTTTCCTGTCCCCAGTATTAACAAAGGGTGAAATATATAGTAGGCATTTAATGCTTTTTTACTATATAACATTATTTTGATTGTTACTCTGTGTTATGCTTCCAAATTCAAAATACAAATTTCTATCGATCCATTGACCAATATATCCATTTCACTTTAGTCCCTGTTCATACAAGAATTTATATTGATGTCATTTAACAGTCAGAAAAGCAGCCCATCTTTAGGAAAGATACTTTATATTATCAAGACAGTTATAATAACTTTGGTAAGAAAATCTATCTTTACTGAAAATCTGCTAAGTACCAGGATTTTGCCAGACACTTTAGATGTTTAATTTTACTTAATTCTTTACTCAAAGACAATAAAACTGAAGCCTAAGACATTTAAATAACTTTGATAAGATCTCCTAGCCAATAAGTATTAGATCTACCTAAGACTGAATCCAAGTCTGTCTGATTAGAAAACCAATTCCCTTAAATTAATCAACAGAAAGGTGTTTGTAATAAATAACAAAAATTTATTTATGTGGGTATTATGTTGGTATATGAATATTTTCCTAGATAAATCACAAAAGTGTCACAGAAGCAAGAAATAATAGTACTGTAAAATTTCAATTATTTCACTAATTGTAGGAAATATCACTCAAGTAAATAGTAAATGTCTGGTGTGATCCTGAATTCTCTTGTTTCCCTAGAGTATCTACAATTGACAAGATATTTGACAGGATATCTCAAGATATCCTTAGGGATAATATGAAGAAATACAGTCTAGGTATTAATGTAATTAAGGAGAAAAGAAAGTGCATATGCTATCACACTTAGACGTTATTAATGCATTGATCTCAATCTATTACCATTTTATTAATTCTTTGAAGAAAGAATTAGCATACTTATCACATTTGCAGATAAGATTGTTGAAGTGACAAAAATACACTGGAGGAGAGAAGCAAGGTTAAATGATATATAGAGAGACTGGAAGATTGGGCTAAATCTTTAGAAATTGCATTTAAAGGGAATTAATATAAATTTTTGTTCTTGGTCCCCAAAATCCAAGCAGTGTATTGTATGTTTGGAATAGGAATAGGAAAGGATAACTGAATAGCAAATAGAGGTGGAGAAAGTAGAAAAAAGAGATTTGTTGTTTTCCTTCAATTATCAGCTCAGGGTAAGTTGATAGGTAATGGGGCTCCCTCAAATAAATAAACAAAACCAAGACAGGAAAAGAAGAATTCCTGTCTGAACTAGCACAGTTTGTGAAGAAATCATTTCCACTAATAAATGCGGAATCTTCTAGGTTTTAGCAGCTAGTTGCAAATGAGGACCCTCCGGGTGTGGAAGGGCATCTGATAAAACCGACCTTATAAGACTGTCAATACATTTTCCTCAGAATTCAGCTGCTTAGAATATAGCAGCCATCATGAAGTTGGATGCCAGTGTGCTTTGCTGCCCTCCAATACGAGTGAGGACAAAAATATTTATTTTGCATGTGCATCACAAAACTGAGCATGGTTGGAATTTTTAGAGGCTTTACTGATCACTGAGGCTTTACTGATTACTGAGAAAGCAAAAAAGAAATTATCACACTCTGCTTCAGCAGCCCAGTTCACAGATTCAGATCCTGGGTGTGAACCTACACCACTCATCAGCCATGCTGTGGGGGCAACCCACATACAAAATGGAGGAAGATTGGCACAGATGTTAGCTCAGGGACAATCTTCCTCAAGCAAAAAGAGGAAGATTGACAACAGATGTTATCTCAGGGCCAAAAACAATTATCAAAGACTTCAAGAAACGTAGAAACAGTTTGACTCACAAGATTTGAGTCAAGGCAGAACTCTGCATTTCTCTTTGAGTCCAAGTTACCCCTAGCTCTTAGCTTGTTTCCACTGGAGAATGCCACACTTTGATTTATTTTCCAGGAACCAAGTGCCCAAATACCTTGTTCTCTTGACACATCTAGTCTTCTCATATTTGCTTTAGCATTTAGGACTAGGAAGTGTGAATTTTCCACAGTAATCACATTTGTGTTACACAAATAACTTTGATTTAACTTTTCAGGTGATTCTGTGTCTCCTATACTTCTTTGTGCTCCAAATGGAACAACATTCTAATCCAAAATGTGTCCTTCAAGACACTCTACAAAAAGGGTTCTGAGGTCAAAAAAGTTTGGGAAACACTGCACTATGTTCATCCCTCAGGAGGTCGTCAGGCACAATAACATATTAAAGGTTCTAATGTGTTCTACAATTCAAAAAACCTGTTAAATTTAAATTTGCTGAAACTTAAATTAACTGAAAATTTTCCAAGCTAATTTGACCAGAGAACAAATTATGTGTATTTGTTGTGTATGTGTACAGCGCCTATGAACTTCCCACAGAAGATAGTTTGTCCGATATTGCCCTATGCAAAGACGTATACAGTCAGATTTTTATGCGTAAATGTGGAACAAGCAGGTCGTTCCCTTCTGGGAATAAAGTCCTAGAACTAGATGGGTTCTTCTTTGTATGTTCAAACACATAGCATTTCAGTTTTGAGAACCATTTTTCCAAGTAATCTGGCCAGAGATAATTTTTTTTTAATTGAGAGGAACTAAGAGGTTTTATAGAAGTCTTGAAGTCGTACCTCGTGATTTCAGTTCGGAGTAACTAGGGATGGAGTACTTAGCATGCAGAAGAGGGACATAGAGTGGGACACGTCATGGATTACCTCAATAATTGCATGTGAAATAAAGCCATGTCAAGTTCAGAGTTTTTACGTATTGTCTCCAGAAAAAAACAAGGGTCTCCAATTAGGTGCTACAGGGAGAGAGAAATCAGCTCAACATAACTACAGAGCTTTTTGACAGAGCTATCAAATATTTAATGGGCTGACTCCCAAGGTTGTGTGATTCTTATTATTGGGAGAGTTTCTTTGATTCACCTGCATTCTAGGTACTTATACAACTCCTGAAAATACAAAGATGACTTCCAGAAACGCATATGTAACCCAGAAGCACACATGTGCACACAATGGCATACGAGTGTTCTCTGTAGTCTGAATAGAGACCTTTTCAAAGCTCTGTAAATCTACAGAGGGAGTGATTAGTTCTAATAGAGAGATAAAGCCTGTTTTCCAAATAGTGCTTCAGCATACTCTGAAACGCGTCTTAGCCAAAATATTGAAGAAAGGATTTGAGCCTTTGTTTTATGTTTGGATTACATGATTTTGAGATCTCTTCACTGTCTATTTATTATCAAATTTATTTGTTGTGATTAAATTCTACTTACTATTTTAAAACTACATCAATTGTAATAAGTTGATTTTACCATTCATTTGCGTTCTTATATCATTTCTTATAGAATTCTATCAGATCAGATAAGAAGTAAACACAAAACTGTTTAATATGAATGATATATAACAACTAAATCGAAAAACCCCTATAGTTAATTATTTTATTATTCAGTACTTTAGATTTTTCTTTGAAACATTTTCTCCTTCTGTCATTTCCAAATGCCATTTTAATGAGCACCATTCCTAAAGTGTCTACATAAAGAAGAGGCTAGACAACTAGAGATTTTCAGAATTGGATGAATAAAAATAATCTTTCAAGGCCCTAGAAATAGTTCTGCTAATTAAAATGTTGACTGAAATGGAAATTAAAGTCATATACAAAGTTGTACAAATTTCCATAAAAGCTCTGGCTGACAAGCTTCAAATCCCATAGGCAGGTAATGAACCAGAGAGGAAATACAAAATTCTATCAAAATAGAAGATTCATTGAAACCAAGAGGTCTCAGACCCCATCGGCTCCTGGGTGTTTGGGCAGAAATTAAGGGGAACATGTTGTCTTAAAATATCCGCAGAGCTACTCCACTCCCAATGATGCAGTTATGTCTGGCCTATTGTCACTAAATACTGAAGCAGAGAACATAGTTACAGCTTGCTAAAAAAAGTTATTAGGAACTAGATAAAGAGGTGCAATATCCATAACAAGTAAACATTAAATTTTAGTCTAGTCTAGGAGGACAAAGTATGATGGCTCTCATGTGACACTCTTACATCTTTTTTTTTCTTTCTTTTTTTTACTGAGGAAGATTGGCCCTGAGTTAACATCTGTGCTAATCTTCCTCTATTTTGTATGTGGGTTGCTGCCACATGGCTGCCAATGAGTAGTGTAGGTCTGCGCCCAGGAACCAAACCCAGGCCACCAAAGTAGAGTGCGCCAAACTTAACCACTAGGCCACAGGGCTGGCCCCTACATCTATCTTTATATTAGCTAATGGACCTTCAAGTTCAGAAGGAATGTTAGAAATTGGATTTGGAAAAAGAGAAATGACCATGTTTCCCTCAATATCAAATGTTCATGGGAAACATTAGTATTAATTCATGGTCGATTCTATGGCAGCAAACGTTACTTAAAATGTATTATTCAAGTCCAAATATAAACAAATTTTTCCTGTCTATAAATACACGTTTCTTTACTTGTGCAAATGTGATATGTTTCATCTTAATCACAAGGAATAATAGGAAATACCCACAAGATCAAATATCTATCCAGCTTTTTCAAGAACAGTTTGGTTAATTTACAGAAAATCATTTTGACTTGGTTTCACGGACTCACTCATTATATGATGCAGCTTTTCGGCCTATAACAAATGTATCCATGTTGGAAGTGTTGCATTATCATGTCCGTTGAAAATTTTGCCTTCTGTTCCTTTGGGGGCAGCAAAGTGAAGAGATATTCATATAAAAATGTGCAAGTTTTCCAGACAATTTTGTAGACAGATACAGAGACTAATCCTTTAATTCTAAAAGATTAAAAGAAGTATCCCCTTAGCGTTTTTAAATTTTTGTCTAAATAACCCAAGGATAGTGGATGTGTTTATGTGTATGTTTGTGCGTATATATGTACATGTGAATTACACATATAAAAAAATGAAAATTATATACTATTGTAGGGATGCAGAAATGTGTTTGTTGTATTTTTTAGTTTCTTATGAACTTTCAAGCTTTTCTATAGTGTAAACATTTCCTTCATCGTTAAAAATTTTCCCAAAGATAGTCGTGTGTGTGCATATATATGTGATGCATATGCATTAAGAAAATGTCAAATGGCTGTGTCAAAAGTCAGTATTTGGCTAAAGGAGACTATCATCTTCTGGAATGAATATCTAGGATAAAAGAATAAGTCTGAAATTTTAGCTTGCAAATCAATTGTTTTAATTATTGTCTGGCTTAATAGCACAGGAACAATAATGCCTTAGCGCTGCGAGCTGCGGGATTGTTTCTCTCGTCACTGCACTGAGCACTGAGGGACTCAGTGGACCGGAGCTGTCTTTTGGCTCGTTCTGCTCAGGCCCCTGCCTGTATATTGTTGCCACCTCTCACATGTGATGAACAAAGGAGCCAAGTTGGTATCCATCTGTTACATCACTTTTTCTAAGACTAAAGAACCAGCAGATAGGACTGTTTATGGAAACATTCAAGGCCGAAATAGGAATGAAATAATTAAACATTAAATTCAGTTCTTAGAGGTCGTTTTGTTTAAAGTTATATATACTAGTCTCCGAACAATTTTACAAATATAGAAGCATAATATGACCTAGTCTTTGTTTTGATTTATTAGTGTTGAAATTATTTAAAGCAGTTTGTGGCTCCAAAAGAACATAATGTTTTTCCTAAAATTTATCTATGTAATATATTTCCCTTAACATTCATAAAGGTCAATCTATTTCCCCATTTATTTTACTACTTGAAAGTTTTTAAAAGGGTTTATGTAAAAATAATTCATAACTTGCAGAATCATCATTAATTATTGCTCCATTTTACTACTGCAATGATAAATATACACTTATACTTCAAATTAACTGATAAAACTTTATCATAAAAATATTTGCACTCCAGGTTACCTATCTTTGAAAGTGAGTAATGAGACACTAACAATCAGTCTGAAGTATGTCTTTGTGTTCCTTGCTCCTTTCTTGGATGCGGCGGTCTTCTGTGTGATCGTGTTGATCACACACATGCTGACGAGGCCGGAAATAACGTCACCACACTCATTTGGCTCTCTGGACTTTCAAAGGATCAGACCAAAGATGAATTCAAATGTTAGATTTTAGCCAAATGCAGAGGCCGAAACCAAACTTTGACACATCCCTCAATATTGTCCAACTTCTGGCAATTGTCCCCCAAATCGCCAGGAGAACTGGGTGATGCTGCTCCAAGACAGAATTAACCAAAAATCACTTAGACAAGTAACGCTCTTTGACACAACACTAGGGGCTTGAGAATATTTATTTGATTGACTAGAAAACAATGTATATCTATCTATGCATGTACCCTGAGGTCAATGTTTATTACTTGAATGTTTTATCAATTTTAGTTTGCTTACTATTTTAGTTTCCTACCTGCTGTTTTTCTTTTGCAGTCATTTTAAGGTTTTTGTTGTTGTTTTGTTTTGTTTTTGAGGAAGATTAGCCCTGAGCCAACATCTGCTGCCAATCCTTCTCTTTTTGATGAGGAAGACTGGCCCTGAGCTAACATCCATATCCATCTTCCTCTACTTTATATATGGGGAACCTACCACAGCATGGCTTGCCAAGTGGTGCCATGTCCCCACCCGGGATGCGACTCCGAGAACCCTGGGCCGCTGAAGCCAAACATGTGAACTTAACTGCTGTGCCACCAGGCCAGCCCCATTAAGGTTTTTTAAAGTATTATAGTAAGCTATAAAGTTGGAGGGTTAGCTTTATTAATATAGCTACAATAATGAGAAATTTAAGCTTTATTTTTTTTAACGCAAGCAACGTCAATAGATTGTCATTCTGAAAGGGAAAAAATAATTCTTATTAGTTTTGAAGTAATATTTGAGAAAGTTTTCACTATCAATTCTCAAGGAATCATTACTTGGACAATTTATGAAATTCACTGACAGCCGTTTTTTTAAGCAGAGTTCTAAGTGATCACTGTTTGATACTTGCTTTCTGGAGTAGTTTTTACAGGGGATATTAAGGGAAAAGGTGGCATACACCCTGATCATTGACCAGGATTGGTTTAAATGCTATCTTGATATGACTCAGTATTGTAGCAATGTTTGGAAGTCATTGCCCCAATAGACATGACAACCTGCTTTCGGAAGGGTCAATACAGAGCACGAATGGAACCATCCGCTTCTGTTGTACACGGCTTTAGGCACCTCTGTGTGAATCCAGTATAAAATCTGCTTTGTGCTCTAGATCTGGCACTCTGACCTATCTGGAGTCATGTGGGAATGTGGCTTCTGCTGTAATAGGATGATAACATTTTTGAATGAATCTATAAACATTTTTAATGAACATAAGCTCCTGAGATCAAAATAGTTGAACGTTCTAAATATCATCATCTTAGTTTATATCTTGGGTTTATATTTATTTGGTGAGGGCCAGCTTTTCCTCTATTGTCCGTAGAACTTGCAGCTTCTCTTGACGCATTGCTTATGTGCTGTAGTGAAGTGCAAGGACTTCGTATGTCTTTAATTAGCTTCCAGTAAGAAATGCAACTGATGTTTTTCAGGTCCTCGCTTGTCTCAGCACAATCATAAAATCATTCAGAAGGAACAGGAATAATAAGACAGCAGGGAAAAGATCCAAAAGTAAATGAAATAGATTACCTAAAGGAATATCTGGAAAGTAATTGTTACATTGTATTATAAAGACATTCATTATCACCAGAATCTAGTCTCACATCAACTCCCTCCCCTCAAAAGCAGCTACAGCTTGTATATTCCAGGTATTGTTTTCAGCTCTGAATATATGATCATTGTTTCAACATAAATATATAAATGTTTAAGTATTTTATGTAAGTTACATCTAAAACTCAAGAATTTTTCTCCAGACAAAACCCAAATAAACTACAACAACCAGGTATTGTAGAACATTTTCTCTTTAACTTAGTTATTATTTATTGTCCTTAATATTTTTAGAAGAGAAAAAATAATTGGGGTTTTTTTTTTAGCTTTTTGCATTTTTCCTGGCTTGACTCTCTCAATATAAAATAAAAAATTTTTGGTGGTAGGATTATCGGTTTCCCTTTTTACACCCTTCTGTAGTGAAGAAATTTTAAAAATATCTACTTCTATATTTAGGAAAAAAAATCAAATCAATTTTGAGAAATCTGAACTAAGTAGAATCAAAAAGATCCAAAAAATGAATATTAGCAAAAAGATTCTGTCCTTTGAAATAAAATCTTGTTGACTATTTTTTTAGACCTATCATTTTATATTTAAGAAAACACTTGATAGACTACTTTTCTTCAGACAGTTTTGACACAAGAATACCTATGTCTTCACAAATAAAATGACATACAATTAAGAAATTAGATATTCTTTCAGAAATATAACTGGTTTACATTTAGACTTTCAACTTATTTTGTTTAAAAATGTAAAAAACAGTTGTATCGGTTTCTGGTGAGTTCGAGGTCCTATAGGATAATTCAGCTAATAGAGCCCTGCAGGATTCAGACTGCGGCATTTGGGTCCATTAATGCTACCTTCCAACTAAATGCTAACATAATAAGCTCATAAGCTTAGGGAAAGCACACAAATTTGGAAAAAGTCAGGGCAAATTGTGCTCCTGAGGTGTAATGGTGTAGTGAACAGGCCACGGGTTCTAGGGAAAGACATAATTATGTAGGTTTATAGCTCCTCCAAATACTAGGTATATAACCTTAGACAATTTATTCTCTTGTCTTATTCTCTTATCTTTTATTTAAAATAGACATAACATGACAATTCAGAATTTGAGAACAATATATTATGTTCTCAAAACCTAGAACAGTATATAGTAGATGGCTTACAAAAACTAGTCCCCATACTTTATGTGTCTAAAGACTTGGACTGGGGGCAACTACAGAGTTCATGATAGACGTTAAAGGTGGTAACACTATATAATACTAATAATGACAGTAACAATAACAACAACAACAATACTGTGAAGAACGAGAAGGAGGAGGAGAAGGAAGATGGGGAGGGGGGAGCAGAGGAAGAGGAGGGGATGGGGAGGAGGAAGGGGAGAGGGAGAAGAAGAAGTCGAAGAAGTAGCCAGATTAAGTGTTGGTCATTGTTTTGAATAATTTTGAGTTTCTCCAAATGGTTTTCCTTTAATACTTTACCTTTGGTATCACTTATGCATAATTATATTAACATAGCATTTGGGGGTTGTTTTAGTCTGATCAGGCTGCCGTAATACAATACCTTAGGCTGGATGATTTAAACAACAGATATGCACTTTCTCACAGCTTTGGAAACTAGAAGTCCAACATGGAGGTGCCTGCAGGGTTGGTTTCTAGTGAGGGCTCGCCTCTTGTCTTGTAGACCTTTCCTTTGTGTTCTCACTGTGTTCTCACTATGTTCTCACACTGTGTTCTCACTGTGTTCTCATTGTGTTCTCACATGACCTTTCCTCTGCACACGTGGAGAGAGAGCTTCTGTGTCTCTTCTTTTTCTTCTTCTAAGAAGACCAGTCCTTTTGGGTTAGGGCCCCACCCGTATGGCCTCTTTTAACCTTAATTATCTTCTTAAAGGCCCAATATCCAAATATAGTCACATAGGGGTTAGGGCTTCAATATATAAATTTTGGGGGAATGCAATTCAGTCCCATCAAGGGTGGGAGGGGTCATAGGGAGAATTTAGTTGCTGCAAAATCGAGGAAACTAGTTAGAAACCAAAAGAGTATAATTTCTCCAATTCACAATCTCATTTACCAACCTACTGTTCCCCAAAAGGAATGTTATTTAAAAGATTGTCCTATATTGTTTTGTTTCATTTGTATCATTGTCAGATAGCGGACCCTTAACAATTTTATTTTTAATTTCATTTGATGAGGAAAATTGGAATTTCATCAAACAAGGCATTTCTCATTGTCTTTCCATAACTGACACAAACATTTGCCCATATTACTTGATAAAAGGCCTTTTTCTCTCCCATTTTATAATGTAATTTCCATTAGTGTTTATGATTATTACATTTATCTCCAGAAGCTGTGGTGCCACCACACACTGTCAGCCAAATCTCTCATCACCATATGGAAAATGTTTGATCTTAATGAAAAACCTGGACAATCATTATGCTGATTTCTTGGCTTCACCAGTGGTGGCAGCAGCAGCTTCGTACCACTTGAGTTAATGCTTTTCTGGACCAACTCTCAATTTCAAGTTGTCTGTGGGGGCTCCTTAGCCTGGGCAGTGAATATCTGTGCATGAATTGTAGGTGTGTGAGGCTCAGCCAAATAGGTCCCACTTTGACAGTCAGTGGTGTTGACCGCATAGCCTCAGTCTGCCACTCGGGAAATTTTCTCCTTTGGTTGAGAAAATCAAGTGTGATTGTTCTGACCTTCCTTTTCTATCCCTTCAGGCAATTAATAAAATTTTCCTTTAGCATTAGATGGAGATGCACTTATTAGATTAGTTCTTTTACTGTTTCTCCTCTTATGTATTAATGTTTCCCTCATCGTCAGCTTTCGCAATACAGCAAACTGGACTTTATCATCACCTTACTAAGAACAAAATCATGAAGTGATTTTCTTCTTCAAATGTCAATCTGTGTCTTGAATGGAGATTAAATGATCAGAATCATCAAGGTTCAACTCCACAAGCAGCTGATTTTTTAATATTTTATTTAGCATACAAATTTAGGACTCAACCCTGATGATCATGGACTAAAGGAAAACTTTTACATTTTTTCTTTAAAATTAATACATAATTTCACCGTCTTAGATAATTTTGAAATAAGATTAGGATTTCCCTCACTAGAGAGCTGAGATTTAAAATATTTACCCCAAAAGCAATATTGGGTTTTTAAGATTCTCTGATCTGAGATTTATTTGACTGATTGCTAATCTCTCTTGTGGTTACAGCTCTAGATAGCTGTAGCTGATTATATCTGGGAATTGTAATGAGGGATATATTGCCTAGAAACTATATCATTGATGAACTGAAATATTAAGGTCTTCTATAATCTTAGGGTTCAGTGAACAATGACAAGTGCCTTTAGGGGCTGCAGACCCCAGGAAGGTAATTATCAAGGAGTGGGATTTGAGTCTCCTGGCTAAAATAAAATCCAGATGAGACATACTAAACCTCTCTTATAAATAACTATTTACTGACATGATTTTTGTAGGAAAGTTACCATTGTATTCTAAAGATCCAATACATTAGCTTATAAGCTAAGCTTTTATTTGGGATATGTCATTACCATCTAATTTTGCTATTTTCTTTACGTTAGTATTTATCAGTTCATGGGCTGAGCTCTGCTGCCTGTCGCCTCCTTCTCACTCATTCCTGAGCCCAAGCTGACAAAGATACCAAGCAGCTCCAACCCCAGCGTTCTAGAAGGGGCAGGTCCTTAATGACAGGTACCTAACCATGCAGCTCATTCTGTCCTGCCACCTTATTCCAGAAGATGAAGTGTTTCTTCTCATGTTACAATGATACTGAAGACTACTCAGTACCTTTAATTCATTACATTTCAATATAGAATTTTTCCAAGGGAGAAAATAATTTTAAAAGAATTACAGAAAGCTAATGTGCTGTAACAAAATTCTTGTTTACCAACTCAAATATGGCTATTTCGAAGTCCCCGTGTCCTCGGTCATTTCTAAAGATGGTACCATTGTTAAACTGAAACACCTGTGTGTTTTAGATCAGGGTTCTACTTCCGGCTCTTCACTGAGCCATTACGTGAGGGTGAAAGCAAATTATGTGAGGGAATCGAATTAGGTGCAATGGGAGGTCCTATCAACTGTCATTTTACTCAACTCTCTTTATGACAAAAATTCAACCGGTAGATGGCACTGTTTATTTCAGTGAGAACTTTCAGTTCAGTGCCATAAAAGTAAGCAATCTGAATGTGGAAATGTGAGTCTCCCCAAACTGATTTGTATTCAAATACCTCAAAGAGACATAAAATCAACACAGATTTCTTCATTCAAGAATGGACAAATACTTGCTTCTGGGACTTTGTATGTTTTTCAAATAGTGATGTCAGGAGAGACATGACAAACTTAAAAATATTAATTTGAGGACTTTGTTATCAGCCTTGAAAACGTAAAATACATGTATATACATATATAGATGTACAGATTTATATATTTTTAAATGTAATTCAATCATCATAATACAACTTGAAATTTGTTTTCCCAATGCTTCGGCCAAAATAAACGACTAAATACACAATCTGAGGATCTTTTCCTCTCCCAACACATAAATAGTGATAGATTTAACATGAAAAATGAAAATTATAAAGACTTAGCTATTTTCAGAAGGAAGACAAGGATCTTTGTGGGCCAGAAATGGAACTGAAACACAAAGTGATAAATGAAGTAGAACCTGCAGGCCTGCCAGGCTTTGGGGCCGGAAGCAAGCTTATGCTGCCAGGAAATTTGGATCCTTTTGGATAATGGAAACTAAATACATCCTGTGGGGTAGTGGTTTCACTGCCTGAAACTAAAGACTCCCATTCAAGTGGAAGGAAGCTCGAAAGAGCTGTGGGCTGAGGAGGAGGAAGGAGGAAGCCCCCCAGTCAAGACCTGAGCCACGCTGCCTGCTGGCTCGGTGGCTGGTCTGAGGTATTTGTCAACATCGCTGTGGCACGTGAGCTAAAATGACAGTATGGGGTGAGTTTCTAGGGAGAAGCAACTGTAAAACTTCTAGGCTATAGGGATGAGGTTCAAATGGAAACTTTTGGTCAATATTAGCCTGCAAATCAATATTCCTGACCATGTGAGGAAAAAGTAAGAAAGACAGCCAACACACTGAACAATTTAAATAATCAAACATTCCATTTTAGTCTTAGAAGAAAAAAATAAGATTCAAAGTTATAATCATTAAATATTTCCAGATTTTAGTAAAAATATGAGTCAACTCTGATGGCTAAGCAGGAAAACTAAAAATATGTTTATAGCTAGACACACCCTAGAGAAACTTCAGAATATCAAAAATAAAGAAAAAAACCTTGAAATCTCCCAAAGAAGAAACATTTCCACAAAAGAACCACAGATAGATGAAAGATAGACTTCTTAAGAACAACAAGGCAGGCCAGAAGCCCAAGGCACTTTCCCATTACGTGGCTGAGAGAAGCTCATGGTCTACTTAGGATGGACTCAAGAGGGAAGGGAAATATATTTTCAGAAACATAGAAAGCAAAAGAATTTACTATTCATATTTTTCCAGAAAGAACTACTCAATGATGTACTGTAGCGAGGAGATTGAATCCAGAGAAAAATAATAGGAAGCATGAAAAAACAGTAAGCATGAAAATTGGTGAAATATGTTGGCAAAATTAATTAATTATTGATTATAAAATTAAAGAATAACCAATCTAGGGGTTAAGAAGAGAAAACTAAATATTGTCAATAAAGCAGATTGGTTGGGCTGGAGGAGGGAGAGAAAGCCAAGATGCTTGCTTGATTTAGGAGAAAGCTAAGGAATAATTTTTTATGTTATAGGAAAAAGAATACAGTCAAGAAATAAAGAATGAAGAGAGAAAATAAAGAAAACTTTAGAAGTGCATAGTAAGAAAAAATGAAAAATAAACGGAAAGAAATGACTTTCCCGACTCAGAACCGTGACTGGCTCTAGCAAGGAAGAAAAACCAGGACGCAGGAAGCTAAGGGCTTCAAATTATATCCTAACCTTTTGCATATTAAAAGACAAAAAGACATGAAGTGAATATGCCAGAATGTTAACACTGGTTGAATGTGGGTGGCAGGTACAGAGGTATTTTTCATGTTATTCTCTGTACTTTTCTGAAGGACTGAAATATTGCAAAATGTAAAATAATGCCAAGGGGAAATAAAAAGAAGAAAAATGTATCATCTCACTGTAGGTTCCCCAATTCCTCCCCTTCTCAGGCCCTGCTAAGAGATGTGGAGCATTTTCCTAGAGCTAATATATTGGAGATCCCTGAAAAACAGGTTTCCTTAAAAAAAATCAAACAAAATAAAATAAAAATGAAAGCTAAAACCTGCTTGATTTCTTTCGCATATTGTCTGCTTCTTTTCACTTTTGAAATCCTTAGTCTCCTGTTCATTTTGCATTTGTTTCTATTGGTGCCTGTGAATTAAGCAGACCAGCCCCAGGATGCTGAGACACACATACGTTATTTAAGATTATCTGTCTGCAAAAGTGTAAATTGAGAATCTTTCTCTGACACTGAATTTGACTTAGAAAATAATACTGGGAGCATATAACTGTGCATTTTTTTGTGTTTCTATGAACCAGAAAATCCAACTGGACTACTTGCGGCATTTGAAAAAACATCTAAATTGGCAGTTTTACTAATGAAGACACAT